GAGCAGAAACTGGATTTGGGTTGGTGGGGTGTGAAAGAAAGATGAGGGAGTAGCGACAGTAGACACTGCTTTCAGGAAGCTTGGTGTTAAATTAACGGAAATATACAGGGCAAGAGCTAAAGCGGCATGGTGGTGTTTGTTTTGTAACAGTGAACAAAGAAGGCGAGACAACTTCAGGTGGCATGAGCAAATGCAAAGAGAGTGACAGAGAAAGGACGCGGCCGTCCTCCGAATGCCTTGGAGTCCTTGTTATCCACAGCACATAAGGATATTTAAATAACCAGAACATTACATCACAAACCCTCCAACTGAACAGGGACATTAACGCCCCTGAGAATCTCTGGGTGGCATCTGCTAACTCTTATCCACGGAGGTAGAGAGTGAGTAACTGTTGTATGTACGCATGTTGCTTCGTGTCTCAGAGGCCTCAGTGGGAGTGCTTTTCCCTGCAGCACCCCCACCCCTCGTCTCCTAATTTTTAATATTTTTTGTTTGCTTGTTTTAAATGTATTTTTATTGATTTCAGAGAGGAAGGGAGAGGAAGAAAGAGAGAGAAACCCCAGTGATGAGAGAGAATCATCAATCGGCTGCCTCCTGCACGTCTCCCACCCGGGATCAAGCCCGCAACCTCTGCATGTGCCCCGACGGGGAATCAACCAGAGACCTCTCGATTCACGGGTCGATGCGCAGCCACCGCGCCATAGGCCCGGGCCCTTCTTTTGTCGCCAGGGACACACTGAACGGTCTTGCTTGCCTTCCCCAGCCTCGGTCTTCTGCTTCCGGCATCCCTCGAATTGAATTCAGGGGTGGGCACAGGTGAGTCGGTCCTTAACAGGCCAAAGGAGGGTGATCATTTCTGGATCCTTCTCTGCCTCGCCTCGTGATTTAGTTGTTTTCTCATCTTTTCTCCATTTTTGTCCATTGTGTCCTGGGAAACAGAATCCTCAATTCCGAAACGGTGGGGTGAGAGGCACCTGATTGAAGGACGGCAAGGAAACCAGTGCCGGCGGCCCCGGGACCGGCCGGGAGAGGGCGCTCCGGGACCGGGACAGGCCGCGGCTGGGGCGCCGAGGCCGGGCCTGGCGTGGGACACCTGGACCCGGGAAGCGCACGTGGGGCCGAGCTGCGCCCGGGGGCACGTGTGCTGTCCCGGCTAAAAATACACGCTGCCCGGCGCGGGCCAGGTCCTCCCCTGGCCGCGGAGGCGCCTGCGGGAGGAGCGACTTCTGGAGCCGCATCATTCCAGGAGGGAGATGGCGGGTCCCGGGGCAGACCTCCGGGGCTCCCGAGAAACCCAGCCTTCTCATCTGTGGAATGGGGGCCATTCATTTATTCAGGAAATATGGAGAGTCTGTGTTGCGCCTGGCACTGTCCCAGGCGTCAGGCATAACTACGGAATTCTTGCCGCTGTGGAGTTCACAGTCTAGCGTGGCGGAGGGGACCATGGGGGTGAGGGGCCAGGAATAGAATAAAGAAGCAAATGAACAAACAGGATACTCCCATATTTTCAAAAACACCATGAGAAAAATAAAGGATGATGTCATAGGAGGGATATGTACGCTGGTATTTAAAGAAGTCAACCTGCAAGACTCGGAGGACACGTCTAGGCAGAGAAAACGGCCGGTGCAAAGGCCCTAAGCCTGGCCAGTTGGACAAAAGAAGGGAGAAGGGAGCTGAGAAGGAGGCCCCGCCTGACCGGCGACCACAGCGCCCAGCACGGACCCGGAAATGCATCTAGGGTGGTCGCTGCGGTGGCCTGCGGGGAGGCCGATCATCTGCAAGGAGCTCGAGGGAACTTCTGGGGGCGAGGGAAGAGCACCTGGACGAGGATACCGACTACTGGACTAACGCGGTTATCAAAACTCGGTGGAGAGTTGTGCATTTGGTTGTAAATTTTACCTGAAAAGCAAAGGCGAGAGTCCCCGGCTGTGAAAGCAAGCGTGGGCTGGGAAAACTTGTGCTGCGCCGTCCAGCTGGCTCCGCGGGCAAAGGCCGCAGCCCGGGCG